GTTTGTTTTGACAAGGCAATCCAACTGGATCCTAATTTTGCATTGGCTTATAATAATAAGGGTTTATAATTAAATTATTGTAATAGGTTTATCATTAAATAATCTTAAAAAATATAATGATGCAATTGTTTGTTATGACAAGGCAATCCAACTGGATCTTAATGATGCATCGTCTTATTATAATAAGGGTTAATAATTAATTTATTGTAATAGGTTTATCATTAAATAATCTTGGAAGATATAATGATGCAATTGTTTGTTTTGACAAGGCAATCCAACTGGATCCTAATTTTGCATTGGCTTATAATAATAAGGGTTTATAATTAAATTATTGTAATAGGTTTATCATTAAATAATCTTAAAAAATATAATGATGCAATTGTTTGTTATGACAAGGCAATCCAACTGGATCTTAATGATGCATCGTCTTATTATAATAAGGGTTAATAATTAATTTATTGTAATAGGTTTATCATTAAATAATCTTGGAAGATATAATGATGCAATTGTTTGTTTTGACAAGGCAATCCAACTGGATCCTAATTTTGCATTGGCTTATAATAATAAGGGTTTATAATTAAATTATTGTAATAGGTTTATCATTAAATAATCTTAAAAAATATAATGATGCAATTGTTTGTTATGACAAGGCAATCCAACTGGATCTTAATGATGCATCGTCTTATTATAATAAGGGTTAATAATTAATTTATTGTAATAGGTTTATCATTAAATAATCTTGGAAGATATAATGATGCAATTGTTTGTTTTGACAAGGCAATCCAACTGGATCCTAATTTTGCATTGGCTTATAATAATAAGGGTTTATAATTAAATTATTGTAATAGGTTTATCATTAAATAATCTTAAAAAATATAATGATGCAATTGTTTGTTATGACAAGGCAATCCAACTGGATCTTAATGATGCATCGTCTTATTATAATAAGGGTTAATAATTAATTTATTGTAATAGGTTTATCATTATATAATTTTAAAAAATATAATGATGCAATAGTTTGTTTTGACAAGGCAATCCACCTGGATCCTAATTTTGCATTGGCTTATATGAATAAGGGTTAATAATTAATTTATTGTAATAGGTAATTCATTATATAATCTTAAAAAATATAATGATACAATTGTTTGGTTTGACAAGGCAATCCATCTTGATCCTAATTTTGCATTGGCTTATAATAATAAGGGTTAATAATTAATTTATATTTATAGGTAATTCATTAAATAATCTTGGGAGATATAATGATGCAATAGTTTGTTATGACAAGGCAATCCATCTTGATCCTAATGATGCATCGGCTTATTATAATAAGGGTTAATAATTAATTTATTGTAATAGGTGCTTTACTATCTCAATTGAAGAAGTATTAATAAGCTATCGAGAATTACAAGCAAGCACTTTTATATTGCAAAGAAGACAAAAATGAATTTAATAAACTAATTATGGAATTAAGATTTAAGAAATGAATATTTATAAAATATTATTCATAAAATATATATATCTTAGTTATCTTAAACAATTTATTGTACCTGCAAATTTGAGAAAATTATTATTTAGAATGTCTTTATTTTACAAAGACCAATAATATCAATTAGCTAAATAGGAAACTTAAATAAACTATTTTTCCTATTTATTGTACCTATTAAAACATATTTACATTATTTGACAATTTCACATTAATTAAGTTAAACATTATAAATTTATTTACCATCATTTTTTACATAATATCATTTTTTTTATTTATTTTTCGACTAAAAATATGTTTTAAGAGTTCAGATAGAAATCCAAACATATATTTCCTATTTTGGGTAATAAGTGGATTTTCAAAAAACTGTTTAATTAACTTTGTAGTAGTAAATGTCATGCAAACAATTTTGCAAGTTTAGAATAAATGTAAAGTCTATTTAATAATTTTTTGTTCCTAAGACAAGTCATGGTAGATATTAAATTTAGAGTTTTATCACTAAATTCAATTAGTATATACTTGATTTGACTATCTAATTAAATTAATCTTATTCATCAATCAAAAAAAAATATGAAGAATTCATAAAATAATTGGATAATATGAAAAAATAATTACTTAAGATATCTGATGATTTAAATTAATAAGATTATAAATAAATCAAAGATAATTTGTAAATGATAAAGGAATGGTATTAATATTCAAACAATCAAGAAGAGATCATGAAGTAGAATTAAATTGGTATTTTTCGATTAATAATATTTATAGGAACTTAATTACTTAGTATAAAAAGAATGATTCAAACTTTAGATTTAGACAATAAATAATAATAATAATAATAAATTAAAAGTATATATCAAGATAATCAAATAACACTTGAATAAGGTATTTAATTTTTTCAAAATTATATTAGGAATAGAATTACTAAATTAACAAAAATGGTAGGAAGCTAATGAAAAAATAAATTAATATTTAAAATTATTAGAGAAACAATCATCATTTGCAACATTGTTTTAAGGTAATTACAAATTAAATATATAATTAATTAAGGTATTTCTTTAATTGAAATGAATCAATATGGAAAAGGAATTATAATGAGAGAATAAGCCAAGAAGATGAATAATAACCTATATAAAGATTTATTGGATTATTCAGACTTGGAACTTAAGAAAAATCCAAAAAATACATTTATTTTAATTGTAAAAAGTTAATATATTCAATTATTTTTATAGGCTATGCATTAGATGATGAAGAGAAATATCAATTAGCCATTGAATAATGCGAAAAGGTTATAATAGAAGAACCTAAACATCTTCATGCATTGTATAGAAAAAGTAAACATTTATTTATTAATAGGTTTTACTTTATAAAATTTGAAGGAAAATTCATAAGCAATTTAATGCATTGATATAGCTTTAAATTATGATTCAAAATATATTGTTGGATATAACATAAAGGGTAATTTATTATGTTATGATTGTGATAGGTTTATCATTAGATAATCTTAAAAAATATAATGATGCAATAGTTTGTTTTGACAAGGCAATCCAACTTGATCCTAATGATGCATCGGCTTATATGAATAAGGGTTAATAATTAATTTATTGTAATAGGTTTATCATTAAATAATCTTGGAAGATTTAATGATGCAATTGTTTGTTTTGACAAGGCAATCCAACTGGATCCTAATTTTGCATTGGCTTATAATAATAAGGGTTTATAATTAAATTATTGTAATAGGTTTATCATTAAATAATCTTAAAAAATATAATGATGCAATTGTTTGTTATGACAAGGCAATCCAACTGGATCTTAATGATGCATCGTCTTATTATAATAAGGGTTAATAATTAATTTATTGTAATAGGTGCTTTACTATCTCAATTGAAGAAGTATTAATAAGCTATCGAGAATTACAAGCAAGCACTTTTATATTGCAAAGAAGACAAAAATGAATTTAATAAACTAATTATGGAATTAAGATTTAAGAAATGAATATTTATAAAATATTATTCATAAAATATATATATCTTAGTTATCTTAAACAATTTATTGTACCTGCAAATTTGAGAAAATTATTATTTAGAATGTCTTTATTTTACAAAGACCAATAATATCAATTAGCTAAATAGGAAACTTAAATAAACTATTTTTCCTATTTATTGTACCTATTAAAACATATTTACATTATTTGACAATTTCACATTAATTAAGTTAAACATTATAAATTTATTTACCATCATTTTTTACATAATATCATTTTTTTTATTTATTTTTCGACTAAAAATATGTTTTAAGAGTTCAGATAGAAATCCAAACATATATTTCCTATTTTGGGTAATAAGTGGATTTTCAAAAAACTGTTTAATTAACTTTGTAGTAGTAAATGCCATGCAAACAATTTTGCAAGTTTAGAATATTATAAATGCTTTTGGAATCATTTAATTTAATAAAATTAATTATACTATACTATATTTTCTTTTCATGATTTCACAATAAATGTAAAGTCTATTTAATAATTTTTTGTTCCTAAGACAAGTCATGGTAGATGCACATTAAATTTATCTTTAGATGTATGTAATACTAAAACATTAAAATCTTAAATAATTATACAGCTCTCCCTTTTAGACTAATATTTGAACTTCCTCAAATTACTTTCTGTATTACTTAAAAAAATGATATATAATCTTCTGCTTTTGAAATTAGTTGAAACAAAATTTCATTATGATTATAGATAAAGAAATTATAGTAATTGACAATTAACTTTTAATATTAGTTTGTTAGATCACTGGAATTATAATTAAGTAATTAATAAACTGCTCACAACATATTCATTAAAAATGTAATATTCATTCTTACAGCATAATTAAGAGTTAAGGGGATTTCTAGAAAAACCGCTTGGTTTAGTAGATTTATGGTACAGGAATATAAAGGCGAAATCTAGTAATATGGCTCCTTATAAGTACTAAACTCTTTATACTATAACGACCTGCAGAAACTTCTAGAAATTTCATGTACAGGCTAACCCAAAGCTAACATCATTTTTTGAGAATGAAGGAAGAAAGACATAATAATCCCTTCTCGC